GATTTTAGCAAATGGCTGCAATATAACAAAGAGTGAAAAATTTAAGGGGGTCTGAATACTTTCCGTACCCACTGTATATATACTGTATATATTATTTCATTTCCATTTTGTATGTTGAAGTACTGAAATAACTCAAATTAAATAAAACTAAAAATTAATAAAAAGCCTATATAGACAATAAAAAAACGAATAAAATGACAACATGACTACAACTGTAACTAAAACTAAAATAGATAACTAATACAAATCAAAGTACATTAGTTTATCAGTAATCCTAAAAAAATAACACTGAGGCAAACACACATGCTAAAATAACAACAATTTACTGACACATAGTAAGAAATAGTTTATAAAAACCTGAAACAGAAGTGGAAATCCTAGCTTCACTCTTATCGGCAGAGTCCTTTCGAATGCCTTCAATCATTAAACATTATATTTGAGCTCTTCTGTGCGTGTTTTCTCTTTAATAAGTTTGATAGATTCTCATTACATCATTATTCAGGTGTAAAACATTTCCCGGAGCGTTTACGGAGGTAGCGTTGTCACGTGATACCTGTTACTTTTCTCAGCGCTTGTTTCAGGATGAACCAATCACAGTCTATTGAGATTACTGAGTGTTGATGTTTTAAAAACATTTTTAAAAGATTGCTGGAATGCACGCATGGGATTTGTATCTCATGCATTAACGATCAGAATAAATCCATGTAAATTATTATACGTTAATGTGCAACTGCCACACAAAAACAAACACCGTACTTGAACGCGTCTGAAGTTCAGCGCCTCCTACAGTAAACACTCAGCAGAGCTCAGACTCATACTGCGCATGCGCCGCATCCGGGCCAGCGCTGACGTCACACGCACAGAGACGCGTGTCGCTTAGTGGAGATTCACGCATGCGCCACACGCTCACAGACAGACCGCTAATCACACAGAATGCTGAACAAAGCTTTTTATTAATTATAATGTCAATAACTGTGGAACACTACAAGTTAAATAATGTTAACAGAAGACAGTGAGGCGGGTAAATAGGTCAAAGTGACGATAAATGAGAGGATTTATAATAAAGTAAATAAAACAAACCTTCGAACCCCATCATCCTCCTGCGATCCGAACACATACAATCACACTCACAACCTGCTGATATTTAGCTTATAATTCATCTAGTGTCATGCATTTATCACGTACATTACTCATCTTAATATCTGACAGAAAGAGTCGTTCTGCAGTGAATCACTGATTCAGAAAGAGTCGTTCTGCAGTGATTCACTTATTCAGAAAGAGTCGTTCTGCAGTGAATCACTGATTCAGACTATGTGAATCAGTACAATCAGGAGAAATGAAGATCATATAGAGCTCTGACTGTCAGCACATGCAGCTGTTTACAGTGTAAAAATGATTGAATCAGCAGATCTGAACTGAATCAGATGAACAAATGAACGAACGAATGGATCTTTTGTCTGTTCGGTTCCTCTGTGAGTCACTGATCAATCACATCAGACTCTCTTCATGCTGATCAACATGTTACTCCAGTAAATAAACCAAACTAGTGTGACTAGTTAAAGCGAACAGCACATCTATGTGATGAACAGAACAGTGAACCATTATTCCTCTTCAGAACACTTTATAAATCAACAAACATTAGAAAAAGAGTGGTTTCTACATACAGTAGATGATTGTTTTCTACGTCACATGGCTTTTGTGCAGATATGAACTGCTGACAAACAGTGGTATGTTTGAGCATCATGAATCTGTTCAACCTCCAGACACTAAACTAGCTGTTACTGGTTAGTAAACACACCTAAATTAACATACCTACTAGCTCATTCCAGAACTAGTCAGTGGGACTGAGTGAACAAGCACCGCTGCGCTTGGCAACACTTAAAAATTAAACTGTAACCTCATTCAACTATCATCAATTAAATAATTATGGATTATTATTAACCTCCATTCACTATCAGATATTAATTCATCTGAATATACAGAAGCGTGTTTCTGCCACAGAATAAAAATCATACAAAGTAACTGACAATTTAACATTTTTCTTCATAATTCAGAGACAAAAAGTTAAAATTTTGAGAAAATAAGTCAAGTTAGAAACTCAGAAGTGTGAGATATTTTGACTTTTTGTCTGAAGATTACAAGTTTATATCTCACAATTCTGAGAAAACGTCAGAACTGCACTGTAAACAATGATTTTCTTAGACATTTATACTAGAAAACAAGACAAAAATACTAAATAAGAGAATCATTTTTTGCAGCGTGTAAGATAAATGTGTAATTCAGAGAGAAAAGTCTAAATCGAGATAAGAAAAAAGATATGAAGAGTTCATTTGCAAAAACATAACTCAGAAATCATGTTTTTTCATTGTGCATTCCAATTAATCTCAATCAAACTGCAGTTGGGTTATTTTGATTAGGTTAAAAAATAACTAAAAAATACAGCTAACTAACACAATAAAAACATGATAACATAAAACATCTGTTCACACTCACACACTCACACTCACACTCACTCACACACACACGCACACTCCCACACACACACTCACACACACTCACACACTCACACTCACACTCACTCACACACACACGCACACTCCCACACACACACACACTCGCACTCACACACTCACACTCACACTCACTCACACACACACACACACACACACACACGTGTGCAACTTTACAGCAAATTAAGTTTCTACAATATTTAGTGGTAGCGTATCAGTGGTGACTGTCAGTTAATGTACATACGGCAGAAATGTACGGAAAAATCAATTAAAGACGTAATCAATTAAGGTCAGGTCAGGAATCTTGTTGTAAAATTTAAATTTCAGTTCCACCTATCACTTCCTGTGTGCGCATCTTTTATTTTTAGGTGGCGAAAAGGGGCTGTTAAAAATTTATTTGTCTTTGAATCATTCATTCAAGAGATTCATTCAAAAACACTGATTCATCCAGTAATGAAACGAGTGAATCCTGAGTGAGTCATTGAATCATTCCATTCATAAATGCCATGAGGTTTTGTTTAGTCGTCTGTTTTTTCTTCAGAATTGTGAGAGAACTACAACCTCCATAAATAAAAAGTCTCAGTTTATCCAGAATTGTGCCGCTCTATTTTGCACACAAACAGCTCTTAATCGAGTCCAGTTTTTATGTAGCCGGATAATTTTTGTTCACAGTATTCAGCAGCAGTGTTGGGTGTAACTAATTACTAAAAAGATTTCTATTTTAAATAAATGCTGTTCTTCTAAACTTTCTGTTCATCTGTGAATCCTGAAAAATAAAATGTATCACAGTTTCCACAGAAATATTGTGCAGCACAACTGTTTTCAACATTGATAATAATCAGAAATGTTTCTTGAGCAGCAAATCAGCATATTAGAATGATTTCTGAAGATCATGTGACGCAGAAGACTCTCAATTCCTTAGCAAATCCAATAGCTCAGAAAAACTTCATGTTGAAACAGAAACTATAAGCTCTCTCTTTTCTAGCACTTTATTTAGATATAGTTGCTCCTTTACGCTTAAAGAAGATTAAGGAAAACAGTCCGACACTGTGTTATAATGAGCACACTAACACCTTGGAGCGCAGCTGGAAGAAAACAAAACTAGAGGTATTTGGTATTGCATGGAGGGAAAGTACTTCCACTTATAGAAAAGCTCTAAACACTGCTAGACATGCTTACTTTTCGTCTCTTTAGAAGAAAACAAACACAACCCCAGGCATTTATTCAATACAATGGCTAAATGCACATAGAAAACAGATTTGTAATACTATTTCACTGCTTTTACTGTATTTTTGATCAAATAAATGCAGCCTTGAGCAGAAGAGACTTCTTTCAGAAACACTGAAAAATCTTACCAACCCCAAAATTCTGAACCTAACAACTGATGAAGAGCAAAACTTCAGCTACAAAACATGTTCAGAGATGAAAACAATGATCAAATGATGATTATTTACATGACACAACCTTCACGTCGGCCTGCAACAACCAATGCATTCAACAAATCATAACTGATAATGAAATATGTCTGTGTGCCACATCAACATGATGAACATCAAACATTCTTCTGCTGCAAACAATGTCTAAAACTTCACACAAAGTTCAATAAAGTCAGAAAGGATCATATTAATATTATAACTAACTGTGAGTATTTGTGATGGACTGACCAGCGGCTCCTGCTGATCTGCGGTCCATCTCAACCACCTGCGGCTGGACGCCATGGTAACCGTCGCCGGCGCCCATCAGCTGGTCTCCATGGAGACGTGCCATGTGCTGCTCATCGAGGGTGTGTGTGGTGCCTCGACCCCGCGAGCGCTCGAACTCCTCGTGATACTTCGCCTGAGAGAGAGAGAGAACGTCACACTCTTACACACAAACACACACGCACACACTCTCACAACACACACATACACACTCTCATGCAAACACACTGCAGGTGTGTGTTACAGTGCGGTTTGGTCTCTGATAAGCCCATGAGTGTTTATGAGCACACGCGTGTTATCGTTCATCACCCGTGTGGCGTGTCAGTCAGTGTTAATGCGGTGATGTCACACGCAGGCGTCGCCGTGGTCCTGCTACCACGGAAAGAGAGTCCTGAGATTTCTGCACACGCCTCATTTCAGGCGTATCCAACTCTGAGCAGGAGCAACCTTTGACCTCCTGCAGACCACGCTGGTACTGCACCTGAAACACACACACACACACACACACGCACACACACACACGCACACAAGCTTCTTTTAGATCATTTACGTCATTTTGAATTTTAGGCCCCCTAGAGGACCATTGTGAGTGAGTGAGTGAGTGAGTGAGTGTGTGTGTGTGTGTGTGTGAGTGAGTGTGTGTGTGTGAGTGAGTGTGCGAGTGAGTGAGTGTGAATGTGTGAGAGAGTGTGAGTGAGAGTGTATGTGTGTGTGTGTGTGTGAGTGTGTGTGTGTGCGTGCGAGTGAGTGTGTGTGGATCTTGCCGTGTGTGTGGGTGTGTGTGTGTGGATCTGGCCGTGTGTGTGTGTGTGGATCTGTGTGTATGTGTGTGTGGATCTGGCCGGGGGATGAGGGTGAAAAGATGAGTTAATGAGTAGGGATCAGGCATTGGCCTCTCACACTCATTACAACCCACACTACTAATCCTGCACCATTCCCACAAGTGCGCTGTTTTGTTCCCTTAAAAACAGATTCCTTCACAAACTCTGAGAAAAGGAGAAGGTGTGTGGATCTGTGTGTGTGTGTGTGTGTTGATCTGGCCGTGTGTGTTGGTTCTGCAGCCAAACGTCTGTGAGACACCATATGGGCCGCTCCATGATAACCGCAGCTCCAACATTCATCATCACAACCGGATCATAACAATCCTCAAAAACACAAAAGAGCTTGATTAATAATTCAGTCTCCAGTCATCTCAACACAAATATTGACTTTCATCTTGACTACAGGAAGACTATTTCTATAAAACTACTTCAGAAAATGTTTAAAACATCATTTTTGAGGAATTTCACTAAATCAGGAGGATTGATTAAATTATTAACGTTTTATGAATTCAACTGATTCTGACAGGTGTTTGATGATACATTTGTATTAAATCATAACAGAATCCAGACAACACAGAATTTGGCTGTAAAATAAAAGTAAATTGTTACATTGTTAAAATTTTTATTTAGTTAATTTGATTAGACATGTTTTTTGAATGTTAAAAATTAATGAAACCATTATAATAAAAAAATGGAAAACACAGAATTTACAAACTTCCAGTGACTTCAAACATGAAACTCTGAACATCAGCAGCTCTAAACGACACACAAATCAACAACAGAACACAAGTCAGACAGGAAGTTCAGTGGAGTAAACATGTTTAAAACCCTGTTTCCTCTTTTCATTCGCTCTAATTACAGAGCAGCATTTACTGGCCGCATCACGTGACCCACAGACGCAGCTAAAAACGCTGGATGGGTGGAGACGCTTCTCTCTAATTACCACTAACGAGCAGCGCCGATAAGAGCGCTCTCGTGTTCTGTGTGTGACAAACGTGTGAGACAGCAGTGAGTCTGGATGAGGGAACGATGAGGCACAATCACAGGAAAAGTTCAACGCTTTAACCATCAGAATCCAAAAACATAAACAGGGTGAAAACTACAGGACAGCCTGAGCAAACCCATCTGTCTCTAGCGGTGTTTACAGCTACCTATTTTTATGCGCATTTTGGAATATTGCATAAAAAACTCTGGATGGAAACGCCAAGATGCACATAAATTCTAAAAAAGCTTATGCACACAATTGAGTAGGATAAAGTTTTTATCTGATAAGAAAAACTGTGCATAAACTACAATGGAAACAAATTTACAGCATTGTTTCTCCGTGCGCATCAAAAAAGTCATGTGACTTTGCGCTATGAGACGGGATAACTGGACTAACAGCGGACCGATCTCGTTCACAGCATCTCAAATGTTGTTTTGGTCGTTCTGAAAGGCCTGAGCAAAGTCTGTCGTCAAAGTATTTCTGTATAATTGTCTCACATGACTGCGTTCCTGAAGAGCAGCATCCGCCTCCGAAAGCATTGACTGCATTTATTGTGTTTCGTCTGCTCGCTCTGAATTTATGACATATGGAAATTATTATATTCAGTGTCTTCTCCTAGTTTTCTTAGTGATATTTAGTGGCAGTTTATCAGGAAGTGACGAGTTTGTTCTCTTTGACTCGTTGGATGGAAACTTCTGTCAGCGACGTCACACGCGGCGGGGCAGACCTCAGGACACACAGAGACATCAGGGATGTTACTCTGAAGATATTATATTACATATTATATATTACAGATATTATATATTATGAATTCTCAGACTGAGATCATCTCACCTGCGTCTCAGTGTGATCTCAGAGTCGCTCCAGTCCGGACGCAGTGAGTGCCATTTTCATTCATAGTGACAGTAGTGTGATATTGTGTGTTTGTTATCAGAGACCAAAGCACCTCAGACACTCACACACACACACACACACATCATACGTTACTGATGTGCTCCTGTGTTCTTCTGAGTCTCTGCAGCTCCGGTGTGTCTGTGACGATACTGAAGCCTCGGCCTTTGCTCTCCTCAAAGTCTCGCTTATATCTCACCTGCAAACATCATGAGGACAGAACACTGCTCAATCAGTCACAGAGCCATTCTGACAGTAAATATCAGTGACTCTCGCCGTCACACCAATACTGTGATCACAGTCTGTCTGATCCAAACACACACATGTGACTGACAGCAACAGCTCAGAGTGAGCGAACGAGCAAATCACTTCCTGCAGGACTGAGATTCTACGAGAGGAGCAGCATCTGCTCTGGTCTGCCATCACCTTCTGTCAGCTCAGCGTGACACACACACACACACACACT